GGCGGTTGCTCGGACGTCTGCATCAATTTGGAAGGTAGTTACTCCTGCCAGTGCGCCAACGGTCTCCACCTTCACACCGACGCCAAGACTTGCTTGGACGTTGACGAGTGCGAGATGGAGAATGGGGGATGCTCCGACAATTGTATCAACGTGCGTGGCAGTTATCGTTGCGAGTGCCCAGCCGGTTTCCAATTGAAGGAGGACGAAAGGACTTGCTCCGACGTGAACGAGTGCGACGAAGATAACGGTGGCTGCTCCCACGAATGCGTCAACGAACTTGGTGGCCATCGATGCGATTGTCCGTTCGGTCACGAGTTAAGGAACAAATCGTGCCACCCTGTAGATCCGTGTGCCAATAACAACGGCGGCTGCGAGCAGATTTGCACCGCGAAGAATGGGACGGTTGCGTGCGGTTGCAAAGAAGGCTTCCGCCTCGATGAGAACGATCCCCCGAGGTGCAGAGATATCGACGAGTGCGCTGGCTCGCAACACGGGTGCGATCAGTTGTGCGTGAACACCGTTGGGTCGTTCGAGTGCTCGTGTAAGCAGGGATTCGAGATGCAGAATTCTACCTGTGTCGGTGAGTATGTTGCTCCCATTTATCAATACGTATCTCTCTTTAATCCTTATTCGATCCGTTATTTGATTGATTTGAGATATAAGAATGCATCTATCATGTTTATACGATTGAATATCATATTGTAATATTGATTGGTGTGTTATTAAATTGTGAGATTTTCAATATTTTTATTGAATTATTATTAGATTTAAATTCGTTAGAATTTAATAAATAATAGTCATTATGAATTTCAGTATAATTGCGCATATGTTTTTAAACAAAATTTTAAAAGAAATTTTAAATTTCATTGGCGGGGATTATATATATATAAAAAAAATTTATTTTTAATTACGAATATACGAGTTATATCTACATATCTAAAATCAAAACTTTTAATGCCTTTGATACTTTGCATGCTTTTCTTAAGCTCGTGTTTTTTCTTTTTCTCTCTCTCTTTCTCTTTCTTTCTCTTCTTCGATCGAATGTATTACACGTCGTAGAAAATTAAAAATTCAGGTCAAGGAACATTAAACGTGTACAATACGTATTTACATTCGCTTTCTTATACATGCAGTATTATTGCTGAAAGACCGGAAACACAATAGCTTGTCACGATATTTCACCTTTCATGCGTTTCGATCCTATTCGTTTTACCGTGGTTTTCATTAAACTTTAGTCTCTCCTGCTTCCATTTTGTACATTTATTCGTTATCACAATAAACTGGCCAGAAATTATTATATGCTGCTGTATAATATTGAAATTGAAGATTCATATTCATAAACGTGAATTTTCAAAATTTCTCAAAAGTTGTGATTATTAATTGAAAAAGTTAAACGATACGCAAATAACATTCCCAATTCGTTATTTCATGAAATATTTTCATTTTATGATCAACTGTTAAAACTCTCCTAAATTTTAATT